ATCTATTTAAATGTAGTGTTCATTAGTATCCCCTCTTTTCTTAGTTTCTTCCAAACCCCATGTCAGTCCTGTTTTATAACAATGGCATTATGCAGTATATGTCCTTTTGTGACTGAGATATTTCATGCAGCATAATGTCCTCCACGGTCACCCATGTTGTATAATGTTTTATGAGTTCCTTGTTTTTCAGTGCTGTGTAGTATTCTGTTGTGTGAATATACCACAGCTTCTCTATCCATTTGTTTATTGATGGGTACTTGGTTGCTACCATCTCTTTGCTATTATGAACAATGCAGCAATAAACATAGTAGTGCATATATCTGTTTGGGTGATAGTTCTGGTTTCTTTAGGGCATATTCCCAGTAATGAAATTGTTGGGTCAAATGGTGTTTTCATTTCTAACTTTTTCAGAAAGCGCCATACTACCTTCCAGAGTGCTTGCACCATTTTACACTCTCATCAACAGTGAATAAGGATTCCAATTTCTCCACAGCCATGCCAGCATTTGTTGTTTGGTGCTCTGTTGAACTTTGCTATAGTTACTGGAGTTAGATGATATCTGGAAGTTGTTGTGATTTACATCTCTCTTAGAGCTAGGGATTTTGAACATTTCTTTGTGTGTTTGTTTGTCATCTGAATGTCTTCTTTGATGAAGTGTCTGTTCATATCCCATACCCATTTTCTAATTGAGTTGTTTACCTTTATCTTGTTGAGGTGGAAAATGATATTTTAAAAAAACTAGGTTAGCATCTATCAATACCTGTCATGTTAGCAATTAAAAAGGGAAATTTATTATCTCATTTAAAATTTTTGTTGTTGTATACCACCATGTCAGAACTGACTTACAGCTGGCCCTCCAGTGGGTTTTCAGAGGCAGCAAATTTGACAGGAGGCTGGACTCTATGAAGAAAAGTATAGCATCAGGATTAGAGGAAGATTCATCAATAATCTTCAGTATGCAGATGACACAATGTTGCCTGCTGGAAGTAAGGAAGGCTTGTGGCACTTGCTACAGAAAATCTAATACTGCAGCCTTCAATATGGATTGTATCTCAGTGTCAAGAAAACAAAAATTCTCACCATTCAACCTGTAGGTAACATAATAAATGGAGAAAAGATTGAAACTGTCAATGACTTCTTCTTACGTGAATCCTCAATTAATTCACTTGTACCAGATGTCAGGAGGTTGGGAGATATAGTGCACTGGGAAAGTCTGCAGTCAGAGACCTCTCCAAATTACTGAGGAGCAGTGATGTTAGCTTTAGGACTAAACTGTCCCTAATTCAGACTATGGTCTTTTCCAATCACTTGCTATACATAATAAGGATAATGGAAGAAGAATTGATGGTTTTTGAACTGCAGCGTTGGAGTGCTGAATGCCCCATGGGCTGCCAAAAGAACAAACAGTTATGTCTTAGAGAAGGTGCAGCCAGGGTGCTCCTTGGAAGCGAGGATGGCAAAGCCTCGTCTCAACATACATTCGGCATGTTGCTATCGAGGCTATTTCTTTTCAAGCATGAGGCGAATATAGTGCTTAGAAAGGTGGAAGGTTTGCAAAGGAGAGAAAATCTCTCAACTAGGTAGATTGACACAATTACTACAACAAACGGCTCAAGTGTGAGGACAGCACAGGATTATCAGATTTGTTGTTCATAGAGTCACTATAAGTTGGCATCTAACAACAACAATGACATTTAAAAGAAGCAAAAAAACCCAACTGCCTCATTTGCATAGGCTATTGCACCAGAAGGAAGAAGGATTGGCCACCCACTT